CAGAGGGTTAGGAAGCAGCAGTCTCCTCAGGAAACACCAGGATGCTTCCAACTTGGCCATGGGGCTTGACATCAAATCAATGATGGTGAGGAGGTCATCGAATGAAGGAGGAGTAGGGCAGACTCTTTTCCTAAAGACATGACCTGGACACCTCTTGTTCTGAAAGGGATTTGGACTACTTCTGTTGGAAGGGACCAGAATGTCTCATCACAGTTGTGGCTCTTTGGTCAACCCATCCAGCACAGTGTCTGTAGGAAGACTGTGTCTACAGCAAGAGGTGTGTTTGGAAAGCTTGGAAGCAAGCAGGAGGAATATGTAGAGAAAACTGGAAATGTCCAAAAGTTGTGGGTACTGGATGGGAGGCTGAGTTTGACTTTTGTTTGTTCCTGGAGCCCAGCTAAGTGGATGGTGAAGTCTATTTAGAAACCAAAGACACAGTGAGCTCCTATTCCTCTTATAACAGGATTCCAAAGTGCTGACAAAGTTTTATTGGATCCAATGTGTCTCCACTTCCAGTGCCATGGTTCGCTTTGTAAAAGTGTGAACCAAAGAACCAAGTACTCACAGCCTGTACACATGCATGCACATACACATTCATGCACATATATGTTCAAGTGTACATATACTGTTTGCATACACACATGTGATGCTTATATACATGCACATGCACTGCACACCTGCACACTGTATTTGCTTACCCGAACACATACTTCTGGGAGGGGAAGTATCCATGCTTTCAAATTCTTGAGGAAGTTTAGACTGGCTGGTATCTCTGGAAGTCAAGGGTGGAGAAAATGTGGGGTCTTCCTTCACTGTGGCATGGGGAGGTGACCCAGAAGGTAGGACTGAGGGAATTCCCTGAGCCTGGGAGGATGGGAGAGAGGCAGATGGATAGAAGCATGAGAAAGCAGATTGGATTTCTGCTCAGTCATCAGATCAAGTTACCCTTCCTTCCCCTGAGACACTTCATGTCATGTTCCTGACGAAAATGCTCCAACTTCCAGCATAGACCTTGGACTCTTCAGTTCAGACCTCAAAGAAACAGCCTCAAGTCATGAACTCAGAGACTTAAAGCAAATCTTTTCTTGACACCATTTGTCTCCAAGTGTCGAGAGTCACTTTAAAGGGCCCTTCGTTTGTAGCTCAACCTCTTTTAAGAAGGACTGAAGACATAGTGCTGGGTGGACAGCAGAGACACCACAGTTAAACCCAATCCACTCAGCCTCTTTCCAAAGTTCCTTCCTCCTCTTCCCGTTGTGCTGAGTACCTGTGTTCATGTCCTACACTAAGTATCTTCGGCAGCAGGTGCAAAATGGCCCAGAGCCTTCAGATTCTCACAAAGAACTTTCACATCCTCTCTTTTTACCTGAAAAGGGAAAGTTTACCCTTTTGCTTTTGAGTCCTTACAAAAGAAACAAGTGGCTAAAAACGCAAAACCAAATGTGTGTTAGTTTCCAAACACGGTTTCTGCTCTTTGTTTCCTTGCTCACGTCATCGCGTGCTGTATTGTGAAACTGAAGAAAAACAGGAGACTATGTATGCTACCCGCTAGAGTAGTGGTTCTCAACCTGTGACTCACGAGCCCTCTGGGGTTGAACATTTTCATGGGGGTTGTATATCAGATATCCTGCACAGAGTAACAAAATTACAGTTATGAAGTAGTAACAAAAATAATTTTATGGTTGGGGTCACCATAGCATGAAGGTTGAGAATCCCTGTCCTAGATTCTCTCTAGGTGATAATTTCTTTGCCTAGTTAACTCATAAATGTCACAGCATTGTTACCCACTCATCTTAAAATAATTATTTCTATACTTATTCACCGTCTTCTCCCTTTCCATGAAAGTTTGGAGGCAGTCACTTGAAATAATGTACTTCTATACTTCTCAGTTAAAACTAAAGCTAGAATTACATATTTATAATATTTTTTGTCATTCAATATAAATGATAATACTTTGAGTTATTGCAAGTTTCCTGGATGGTATAACATTTGAAATTTGTGGCCAGTAATGACATTTGCTTAGCCTGGTTTAATACAAATTTGCCAATTTGTTTTTTGACAGCACTCTTCCTGATGCCATCCCACTATCACGAAATGTAGTTAGGGATATACATGCTCGTGGATCTAATGGACTCCTGGGGTAGACATAGATGTGGGTACATTTGACATCTGTGGTAACTGGTATTAAGGAAAGAAAGAGGTTCTAAGTGAACATATAATCGAAGACCCCAACTTAGGCTGGCGGTTGGAGAGAGTCTCCCCATGACTGAGAGCTGAAGAGGAGTGGAAGCTGGCTCCTGTGGGGCAGGGTGGGGCTGAGGTGAGGGACCTTCCTTCCTCATGCAAGTCTATCCCATCTGAGTAGAAGGCTGCCCTCTCATTGAGCTAAGGAGACAGCCTAGGCAGCCAGTTCATTCTCTGTGACATATGGCCATCCATTTTAGTCTTTATTAACACTGAACTTTCCTTAGAGAGAGAAAAGGAAAAAAAGGGAGAAATCACTGAAGCCCTGGGGGAAAGTAAACCCCACAAGATGAGAAGGCAGATGGCATGTAGGAGGTGGAGGGCTTAGAAGGGAGATGCCAAAGATAACACCCAGTTTTTGCAACAAGACTGGGCTATTTTTACATGTATCATACAGATAGTTCAACTGTGGTCTGGGATGTAGACTGTCATTCTCTGGTATCGTGAAGCAATGCATACTGGGAACCTGAAGAATTGAACATATTTCCAATCGTGTGCTCACTAACTGATTGCTGTCAGTATCAGCCTTTACCCATGAAGGGACTAGATGTGACGCTTACAAGGCCCAGAGCAGGCACAGGGGCATTTGCAACCAGAGATGGTTTACTTGAAGACTAGAAAGTCAATATGCCTTTCTTTGATACATTTTTTTCTTTTTTGATTTTCAGAGGGGATGATATGAACCTTCTGCTCTCTTTGGCAGAGGTTCTTCTTTTGAAAATACGATATTCTCCCTCTTCTAGACTCCTGTGAGCTCAGTATGGTGTACTAAGCTAGGCCTTAGTGAAGTATTGAACAGATAGATTATGGCTTTCAGGGTTGATAGGACATTGATTAAATAACCAGCACGAGCAGAGATGTGTGTGTGTGTGTGTGTGTGTGTGTGTGTGACAATTATACATATTTATTTATTTTGGAGTTTTGAGACAGGGTCTTGCTCTGTAGCCAGGACCTACCTTGTCCTCCAACAGATAGATTATGGCTTTCAGGGTTGATAGGACATTGATTAAATAACCAGCACGAGCAGAGATGTGTGTGTGTGTGTGTGACAATTATACATATTTATTTATTTTGGAGTTTTGAGACAGGGTCTTGCTCTGTAGCCAGGACCTACCTTGTCCTCCAATCAGTTCTTCCTCAGCCTCCAGAGCACTGGGATAGTAGGTGTGAGCCACCATATCCAGCTCAACACAATAATATTAATATATGCCATTGAAGGAGCCTTCTGGCTCTGTTGGTTAAGTGAGAATCTAGGAATGTTATAGAGAAGGGAAGAGAGGAAGCAAGGAGGGAAGGAAGGAGAGAGAATGACAGCATGCACAAAATACACCCCAGAAGCTGGGGTTGGTGGCTCACGCCTTTAATCCCAGCACTCGGGAGGCAGAGGCAGGCGGATCTCTGTGAGTTCGAGGCCAGCCTGGTCTACAAAGTGAGTTCCAGGACAGCCTCTAAAAAACAATACAGAGAGACCCTGTCTCGAAAAAACAAAAACAAAAAACAAAACAAAACAAAACAAAACCACCCCAGAGCCCTTGAAAGAACTGATCTCCAAGGACTGAAACTGGGGGGGGGGGCTGGAAAAAAAAGAGGAAGCCAAGGGCTAGGAGAAGTCTTTTTATGCTTTCATGCCTGTTGAGCAACTTGAAATTCCAATAGTGCCCATTCCTACCATGGTGATTCCTCTTCAGCAGTGAGTTCAGGACTAAAATAAATAGGAGCAGAGTTGGAACAGGGGTAAGGGATGTGCTGCCAGGAACAGCCCTTTAGGAATGGATTCCTCTGGCCTCCTTTTGGTCTTTGGAGTAGCAGCACAGTGAGTAACTGTGAGTGGTCCAAATACATAAAGGAGGGCCCTTTTGCAGGGCTTGCCTTTGGAGAAACACTACCAACCTGTAGAAGTAGTCTGGAGAACTCTCTGTGATTCAACCACCCTTTTAATTTTGTCTTCAGAATGTAAGTACCAGAATTATAGTCATGGGAATGATTCCTTTTGACAGATGGGAACCAATTTCACAAATTCCTGAGGAACTCTGACTTTTATCTAGCCACCAGATGTTCTATAGAGCAGCTTGAACTTATTTCTAGACATACCAACAACCTTTTGGAGTGTGGGGAATTGGAGCCTCCTTTGGACCTGATGGGGTACCTCTTGGTTCACGTGGTAGTTTTAGAGAGAGTAAGGTGATTTGGGCCAAAATATGGTTTCCCAGAATTATCCCTACAGAAGTGGGACCCAGGATTCCTTGCTTCTGTCCGACTTCTGCTCTCAATCCCACCCCTGTTGTAATTCTAAAAAGCTGTGTGAGAGAGAAAGGTTCCATGTGACAAGAGTTCACATGGAGGGGTTTTTATTAGGGGAAAGGGATCATAAAGAGAGGAAGGGGAGGGGGGAGGCCAGCCTCTGGGGAAGAAATAGTGAGAGAGGAAAAAGAGGCACTGAGGAGGGGCAAACAGCCAGTGAGGGGGGAGAAAGAGAGAAAGATGGGAGGTGGGCAAGGCCCTTTTAAAAGGAAATGTAGTAAGTATGCGCAGGTGGTGCTCTTAGTGCCTGCAGCTGAGGGCATATCCTGTTAGAACTCCAAGGGCAGGCCAGTACAAATGCCTGAATACTAACAACCCCTTCCTCCAGGAACTAGAAAGCAGCCACTTTTTGCTTTTCTTTTGGTTACAGTATACTGGGATATGCTTCTTGTTTAAATGTGGTAGTAAATTTTGGATTTTCTTTTCTATTTTTCTGTCTTTTTCTCTCGTTACAGCAATGCTTTTGGAGCAAAACAAAACCTCAGCTTTTGAGTTCACAACACCATCTTGACTGGAATTCATGCCAACACTGCCTAAAATCTATGACTCATACAGAGATGCTGGAGGTTTCTAAAATGAAGTTCCTATGAGAACCTTAGAAGAAGAGTGAATGAGCAAGGAGAGGAAAGTGGGGAAGGTGGACAGTGACCCAACTTGCAGACCAAGAGAATATGAAACCCCAACACCACAGCGGCTGGGAGCCTGAGGGTGGGTAATATAGAACGGGTCCCTCCAAAGTCCCGTGCTAGAAACTTAATCCAAAATGAGTCTGTTGATGGTGTTGCTTGGAGGGATGGCCTTGGGGAAGTAATTGAGGTTGGATGACGGCATGAGGGTAGCATTAGTGGTTTTAAATAAAGATGAAGAGAGACTTCAACTAGCACACATGTTTGGTCTCATCATTCCATCGACTACCATGATGTTCCCATCCAAGAAGAAGACTTAGGTTTCCTAGTCTGCAGAGCTTTGAGGCAAATCTACATTTATCCTGAGATGGACAACTCTGGAGGATGAGCTTCAGGTAGACTCATTTGAAAATCAATAATTATCCAGCAAAATAGAAACAGAACATAAGTCCTATGACAATAGAAAACTAAAACAAGTGAAACTCTGCAAGTACTTCACAAGCCAAAATGAAGGGATCGGACCCTCACCCAGACCCCTGCCTTAGTAGCAAGACAGGCTGCAAAAAAGACCTGACAAGACAAAGGCCCCTGACTCAGCACATGTGCTTCGTTTCCGGACTTCTGACCTTGAAGGAGCTGCCCTAGGTCAGATACCCTCCAGGTGGCAAGGAACCAATCAGAAGTTAGATGGACATGCTTTCCAGGCATTCTGGTAAAAGTGGCATAACACTGATGTGCAGAACATAGCAACCACCTTGGGAGGGCCTATAACAACCAGTTGACCAATCAGCACAGGATAGGCTGGTCAAGTTCGGAAATACACCAATCCTGAGACTGTTGCATACCCCCTAGATATTCCCTTTGTTCCCCCCAATAAACTCCCCCTCGAAGCCCCTTGGGGTACTTCTTCCTCCACCCACAAATGAATGAAGGGCCTGAGTTAATGCAGGTAACTCTATAAACAATAAGACTCTTTGCATCTGAAAGTGTCTCTTGGTGATTTGGGGGTTCAGAATTTGGGCACAACAAGAGTAGTGAAGGAAAGGTGAATTTAGACATTTTTAGGTTGAAATGAAGGTGAGAAACTGTTGTGTGATATTCTGTAGCTCTGGAGAATGGCAAAGTTTGTTTTGAATCAGAGGGCAGAGCTAGTTACTAGCTGAGCAAATTAACCATAGAGCTTTTGGAGGTCTGAGAACAGATAGAGAGGCAGGAAGTTGTAGGGCGGAGCTTAGAAATGGTCTCAGCCCTCTTTGATGGAGGAACAAAAGAGATAGGAGGTCACTGATTGATTCTCTGCTGCTTTTCTGATCACTCGGGTTCTTACTGTCTCCCAAGTTTTTATTGAAAAAGAATAATTAGGTAAACACATCAAGAAAGTTTGTCTGAAAGGGATCAATTCCTACTTGCCCACCCCCTGTCAAAAAAATGCCAAACCAATTAACAAAACTTCAATACCATAGTGGGATTAGATATTATATGACACCATGCTTAGCAAATAAACAAAAAGAATCTCTTTTTTTGTTTTTGGATTTTTGAGACAGAGTTTCTCTGTAGCTTTGGAGGCTGTGTGGATCAGGCTGGTCTCAAACTCACAGAGATTCTCCTGCCTCTGCCTCCCGATTAAAGACGTGCCTCTGCTAGGATTAAAGACGTGCACCACCAACACCTGGCCCAAAAAAAAATCTCTTAATTGTCCATAAACACTATTGGAAGTAAGTAGAGTTGTAGAGAGGAAAAGATGCGAGCTGCTTGGCTCAGTTGGTGCTATAGAAATGAACACCTAGATGCCCATTCCTGATGATAAACTTGACGTTTACCCTATATGCCATCCTAGAACCTTCATCCAGTGACTGATGGAAGCAGAAGCAAACACCCACAGTTAAACACTGAACTGAGCCCATGGAACCCACTGACAGAGAGAGAGGAGCGATGAGCAAATTGGCAAAGAATGGGCTGGCAGCCGGGCGTTGGTGGCTCAGGCTGAGCACTGGTGGCAAACGCCTTTAATCCCAGCACTTGGGAGGCAGAGACAGGTAGATCTCTGTGAGTTCTAGACCAGCCTGGTCTACAGAGTGAGTTCCAGTCCAGGACAGCCTCCAAAACAATACAAAGAAACCCTGTCTTGAAAAACAAAATAACAAAACAAAACAAAACAAAAAAAGAATGGGCAGGGCGAAACCAGCAGAAACAGCTGATCTGAACAAGGGGAAGTTCTTGGACTCCAGACCCACAGCTGGGAGGCCAGCAGGGGACTGATCCAGAACCCCTGAGTGTGAGAGTCAGTGAGGAGGCCTGGGAAACCTACGGGGCCCTAGGCAGTGGATCAGTGTTTATCCCTGGCATACAAATGGACTCCGTGTGTCCATAACACAAAGAGGGATGCTCTCTCAGCCTGGACTCTTAGGGGATGGTCTGGACCCTGCCCTGAGCGAAATGACAGACTCTGGATATCCCCTATGTGGAAGGAAGTGGGGATAGGGTGGGAGGCTGGGGGGGGATGGTGAGGGGGTGCAGGAGGAGGGGAGGGAGAGGGAACTGGGATTGACATGTGAAGCAAGCTATTTAAAATTAATAAAGAAAGAAGGAAATGAACACCTAGGAGGACAAGGCCACTCTTGAGGCCGCTGGGGGTCCACAGCAGTGCTTTACTGCAGCCACGAAGGGGAGCGTGGCCTTTTCTCCTCCCTGCTACATACATGCTTATTACTAAGGCCCTTGCGGGAGCCTGTTCTTCTGCCTTCCCTCTGGGGAAGGGACTGTCCTGGCTCTGCAATCCGGGGAAGTCAAAGCAAAGCTTTCTGGCTAGGGTGTAAACTGTGGGGCTTTCCTGAGCCTACACCTGTTCCCATTGTGTGTTATACTTCCAGAGGCCACCAAAATGACCCAGCTTGGTGAAGGAGAAAAAGAAGCCTGTTCAAGCATGGCCCGATTTCCGGCATGGAGCTATGCTAATTGCTGATGGGAGAAAGGCAGACTCCTTTAGTGCAGCCAGAAAAAGGACGCTCTTGGCTGACATCTGGGAGGCTGTCCTGGCTTTCAGGGCAGACGGAAGCCGCCGGCTGCCTCCTGCCTCCTGAGCCATTGTGTTGGGGCTGGGATGTGGACCAGGCCCTGTTCAGGAGGGGCCGAGTCAATGTGAGTTGAATGGATCATGGAGGAGTAGCCGGGAGTCTAGAGACCAGGAGTCCTTCTGAGTCCTAAGACCCCCTCTCAGCATAGCCTGGCCTTCTTTATCCTCTTCAACAAAAGACTGATTGACAAGATTCTTTTCAAAGTCCCTTAGCCCTAAGAAGAGTTGCTGGAAGAGGAGGGAGGGGGAGGGGCGCGCGGGGGCACAGACAGTGGTTTAATTGGAAGCCGAGGGAACAATTCAAGTTTGAAATCAAAACGATAAAATGGCAGAGAAGAAAATATCCAGTCTGTCTCTCCTCAAAGAGATCAAGAGGTTTTTAGATCTGTTCTCATCAAAGTTTTCCTCCCCTTTCTCTAAAGACGGAAAATCACGGTGCATTTAACCCCCAGCTCTCGGTGGCGACCTCTGAACTTCAGCTGTTTCTGTGTAGCTACCAGTTTTCACATTTAAGGTGGAAAAGTTTCAGCCAGTGATCTTAAAAGCACTGTGGGGCCTTACTAATGGACATACGGCAGGACATCGCAGAGGTGCGACGGATGTTTGCCGCTTCTTCTGCTACTCAGTTCTAATCCTCTTCCCTTTTCTTGCAGATAGATGGAAAGAAAAACCAAGCAAAACAAAACCAAAAAGCGAAAGGCCCACCATTTTAGAGCCAGGATGGTAAACTAATTCAGCATTTGCTCATACTTGTCGAGAAGCAGCACCGAGACAGATGCTGAGGACCTGGGGGCAAGGAGGACTTAAAGAGCATGCGCACAACTGTAGAGGCAGAGGGCAGAGGACACAGGTTGGACAAAGGAAAGCAGAATTGTGCATTGTGATAAGGCCTATAAAATAGACCAGGGACAGAGGTAGTGGACCTGTAAGGTATCGCTGTACCCGGCTGGGTACCCAGGAAGGGGAGGGACTTTGTAAAGGCAGACTTAATGCTAAGAGTGGAGACAGACGAAAACTGCTATTCCTGAGAGTGGTTATCGAGACAGATACTGCTTTTCTGCCCAGCAGAATTCATGGTGTCCACTTGTGAAACTTAGCTGAGTTCTCTGCCAGCCCCTAAGTTCACCTGACGAGGCTTTCACAGGTGAGCCTTGTCAGGGCTCCGTAGGCCTATCACAGACCCTGACAGCGGTAGACTTGGTGCTTTATCTCTTGGAGGGATTAAACACTAGTCAAAACACTTGTAAAATTTGGGACAAAAACACCTCTCCTCCTTTTGTTGTTACTATTACGCTTTTATCAATAGAAGATCAAAGAATGGGAAGTGGCATTGAATGATGATGTAATAATTCACCTATTAACAAATGTATATAGAGCTATGAACGGCTCCCTCGGGTTCCAGCTCAAGGCATAGTCTTGTGCCCATGTTCTCCTTTTCGCCTTTCGATTTCCCTGAATTCCACCCCAAGAGATACAAAGCCAGGGTAGTTTCAAACACCACATTAATTGGACCATACGGTGTGACAAATGTCTACTTCTTGGGGAGACCTTTTGCTTCTTAGCATCTGTATTCTTCCAGGTTAAATTCCAAAGGCAGTTTGAGGCAAAGAGGTTTTCAAAAGCTGCAGTGGCAGCAGCAGCAGCATAGAAGATCCACGGTCCCCATGGTTACCACCCTATAGCCTCACAACTCGGGAGATCTGTTATTGTACACAAACAGGGCCATGTTCAAACAGTCTTCCCAGACTTTTCAATTGCTCTCTTGCATCTTATGTAACTGAAAGGTGAGGAACTATTGGTTCCACCTTCTGCTCTTTTCATTTCATAATCATTGACATTTCAGAAGGATAAATGTATAAGTAAATTGACAAAAGATGCGTGGAGCCAAGAAAGGGAAATAAACAGTCAGGGTCTTCCCAGCTGTCAGTGTTTTTATCACAATGTTTGTCATCAGATAGTTGATGTCACTGAGTGAACCAAACATTTGAAATAGGCAGAATTTAGACATTGTGATTACTCCCGTGTCTCAGAAAGACCCAATAACCAAACAAAACGTCACATCGTTTAAGGGCCCCTTCTCCCTTCATCTCCCCTTTCCTTTTTAAGATCTCTCTCTCTCTCTCTCTCTCTCTCTCTCTCTCTCTCTCTCTCTCATCTCTCACACACACACACACACACACACACACACACACACACACACACAGAGAGAGAGACAGAGAGAGAGAGAGAGAGAGATGTGTGGGTATCTGAAAAAGCCAGAATAATAAGTGTATCTAGTCCCTGTAGCCAGAGTTACAGACAGTTACACAACATGGGAGCTGGGAATAGCACTTGGGTCCTTTGGAAGAGTATCAAGTACCACCCTATCCCCATTTCCATTTAAATTTAATCTTAATAGATAACAATGACCTTGTGAGAATTCAAATGACTTTCTAATCTAGAGAGGGAAGAGCCTGAAAAAGCTTATTTGCAGCCCCTATTTGCAAAATTGTCAATTCAGAAGTTAATATTTGCAGATGGTTTTGAGAGGTTGGGAATACATTACCCTCTTCCACTCTTGTTTGATATTACATTTTCAATTTTTACTCCTTGCTTAAAGACTTTGGTGTTAGAGGCAAAACTTTGATGGTATTTTGGGAGACAGTTCCCATGCTAAAATAAATTGAGGAGTTGTTAAAAAAAAAGGCTCACACCCAGACCCACTCAAGACCAATTCAATCACATTCTCCCCTTTATTAAATTTGCAGCCAAGGCTAAGACCACAGGTCTGGGACTCAGACACCTGTGGGTATTGAGCAAAAAATCCCAGACAGGTGGTGACTCAGCTGGTAACAGGAACTTGACCCAAACAAG